GGAGAAAAAGGAAAGAAAGAAGGCGCTTAATTCAAAATATAAAAGAATGTGAAAACGTCCCTGCTGGACATATTTACGGGGCTCATTTGATGAATGAATAGCCCATAACAGCTAACTGTTCGAGGAAGAGACGGTGGAGCACCAAGTTGTGGAAAATAGGCTCTCAATCATAATTGAGCAAGCCAAAGAGGTCAACTACCAGTAGGAGACGCACCATTCTTTAATTAGAGTTGAAGGGAAGTCATGCCTCTATAAAAGGCGGCTAAAAAGAATGAGCACAAATTCAAAGATCTGCCACGTGCTAATTCATGCGATAGAGGCAAATAACTCAATGAGCGTTTCAGGCTGGGGACACAAAGAATATATTTACAGAGCCAGACCTGAAGGAAAGCAACATGCTCAGCATGAGTAGGCTCGGAATTGGAAGCATTATAAAGGCCTTGTATGCTTGAATAAGATTCGGCAACTCTCTTGTCAAATTGTGGAGCAGCACTGGAAATCAAAATACCAGGAAAGATAGTATCGCCCGAAAACGGAAGATTCACTAGGGCTCCAACATCGTTTAGAGTAATGGACATTGGGCCAAGAGGAAAGGTAAAAGTATTATACTCAGAAGACCAGAAACTCAGGGCGATTGGGAAAAGCACTGGGTCATAAGTTGGGGGAAAAAAGGGTAATTTCTAATACATCCAAAATATTGACATATCAAAAATTTCTTTGGTGGGACCATGATTTACCATATGTGCATGCCATCTACGAAAATTAGGATCAGGTTTTGGCCAAGTACGAATACCTTTACCGCTAATTGGCTTCAATAACAGGGAGTTCAGAAATGGAAGGTCTTCAGTGCAAGGAAACAACTGGCCCACCGCCACTTGTTCAACGGCTTCGGCATTATTGAATAATGGACCTAAATAGAATTCATTGAGGTCAGCATTAGCATGTGCGATGAAGTTTGCATTTACATACGGCCTAGTAAGGATGTTCCGGAAATCTTCGAAACTGAAAGCATCATCAAATTGAGTTCGTAAAGTCGCCATTGAGTGCAAAGTACAGTCTTGTTAAGGCTTGCCGAAGAAACGTAGCAGAGAAGTAAGAAGATGAACAGTAAAATAGTGAGGAAGAAGCACGAAATATAGAGACGTGGTTTAGTGGTGCGATGAAATGGCGTGTTTTTTGGGTTTGTAAGGGTTTGTAATGTTGCACATTTTTAGGCTATAGAAAGAAATAATGATTGAAATTCTCAGGAATTTCAAATGTTGCCTGGAAAAGACAAGGTGAATATGGCATAAATTAATATTTGGTATTAAATCTGCCATATTGGGGGTAATAGTTGACGCACTAAAAGTACAGCTCAAATTGAATAGCCCAAAGAGTGACGCCCAATTGGAGGTCNTAAAATTCTTGGGAATTTCAAATGTTACTGGACAATACGAAGTGATTATGGCAAAAATTAATTATTGAATATTAATTCTATCATATTGGGGGGTAATTGTTGACACACTAAAAGTGCAGCCCAAATTAAATAGCTCAAAGAGTGAGACCCAATTGGAGAGTCCAGGATAAAGGCCCAAATAAGGTTATTGGTGAATGTAGAGGAAGCCCACGAACACAGTAACATCATCGCCCAAGCCTGCAAGACGCCCAGAATCTGAGCGAATTGAGGAGTGCTTTACGGTCGCCCAAAGCGATAACCTCGTTCTCGCCCGAACCTTTGAGTCGCCCAGAATCTTAATACATGAGATATTATGATCATCCAAAATAGCAGTTATTGAAACAGTTATCGATCAGATTATCACTTTCCACAATTTAAGGAGCCCGTTTGAAGGCAGTTGAACGACAAAGAGTCATAACAGCAGTTAGAGATGGCATTCCACGACAAATTAGCCACCATGAAGAAAGTGGGTAGTTAGAAAGCAATCAAGTAGTTTTCAAGCAATTTGTCACGAAGAAATTTTCATGGGAATATAAAAGGAAGAAAAGATATTGAGGAAAAGTGCCCTGAATCAAACACTCTCAAATAGAGAATATGTAATTTCAATTTTTTAGATTAACTTTAATTGTCCATTTTCAGTACTCGTGTGCTTGCGTCCCTTAGAGGCATTCTGTTTATTTCTAATTGTAACGCTCATCAATAAAACACCCATTTTTGGGACTTTGTTTCAATATGTTTGTCTCTTACACAATCGTCTGAATTTCTTTTTTAATTGTTAGCGACTACCCGCTCGAAACACTTGGAAAATAATGCATTTTGGAACTAATTAATTAATATATTATATAGTTAGATATAATTTACTCGAAATCTCTCCATTTGGACACTAAAAATGCACATCATAGATTCATAAATGTTATTAAAAGTTAAAATGCTACATTACCTTATCAACACGTAATATACAGAGAATTTCTCTCAAAGCGAAACATAGAAAGAAAATCCCCACACACTAAGGCCCTGTTTGACAAGGCAAATTTTCTTGGGAAAAAGGAAAATGTTTTCCTTTTCTAGGCAATTGTCCTTGTGTGATGGCAAAAAGTAGGTGGGAATTAATTTTCTTGGACTTGAGTTCACGCGCCTTATTTCCTTCCAATTGAGGAAAATGATTTCCCACCATTTTGGTGGGAAAATCATTTTCCAGGTTCTGACGTTTTTTTTTTTTTAAGTAATGGAAACAAATTTCATAACCAAATGTAAAAAAAAATTTCACTTTCATGGACAATTTTGATGCAAACAAAGACCAAACGAATACTAAACTTTGATTGAAAAAATGATTTTTTAGGAAACAATTTTTTTTTTTTGTTTTTTTTTAACTTTTTGGCAATGAAAACAAATTTTATAACCAATTGTGGAAAAAATTATCAGTTTAATGAACAATTTCCATGTAAAATAAAGTCAAACGAACAAAAAATTTAAAAATTTTTCGGGTGGAAAATTATATCAATCAAATACACTTGAAATCATTTTCCCTACAAAACATTTTCTAGATAATTATTTTCCCTACAAATCATTTTCTTTCCACCCATTTTTCACCCTTACAATCAAACGCACCCTTATAGTTTTAGCCCTTGTTTGAACACATTTTAAGAGAAAATATATTTTTTTGAATATTGATTTTATGCTAATGTATGGTTTAAAATGAANGAGAGCCTGCAATTTTTACTACAAACATATTTAATTTGAGTTAATTAAATCATCAATCACTAACATTTGACCTAGGTTACTACTTGCTCACTCAAGAATAATTGGTTACCGAATGCTCACTCACTTTTGAAAAAAATTACCCATCAATCACCCATTTCACTTCCATCCATCCAACTCTCTACGTGGCAGACGGAAATATTACGTGGCAACTAACGCCGTTAAAAATTGATTACGTGGATATTAATTAAAATTGTCATTTCTTTCCCCAAAACCATTTCTTCACACTCTCTCCCCCAAAGTCTCTGTACGTTTTCTCCCCAAACAAATCCATCCCCAAATTGAGTACGAACCCTAGATTTATAAAAAAAAATCAAATTGATTTCTTCCCCAAACTCGTAATCAATTTGGGGATGAATTCGTGCACACCTTGTTCTAAGAGTGGGTTCCCACGCTTAATTGCCACTTTGCAGAACCCGAAGAATGTGAATTTCCATACAAAGGTAAAGGAAGCCGCCCAAATTGAGATTGCAATTGTGAATCCGGCTTCCTCCTACTTTGAAATGCCATCGGCCTTTTTGTGTTTAGTGGGTTTCGTCCATGGATCGAAATGAAGCATATGTCATGTAGTTTGTAGGATGTTGTCTGTGATTGCAATTGTTGGGAAAAAAAAGTACTATGGTGTTATGAATGTGCAAGGTGTAGTAATTGGTATGTGTATGCTGTTGGAGTCATGGAGTCATTTGGTTGTGCAGGTTGAACTGACCACCACAACACTCACGAGGCAGGTTAAACAAGCGAATTTGTAGTGGAGTGAATATAGATGTTGGTGTTGTGGAGTGAATTTGTAGTCAGTCATTTGGTTTGTGCAGTCATGTGTATGCTGCTGGAGTCATTTGGTTGTGCAGGTTGTAGTTGGTGGTGTTGTGTATGCTATTGGAGTCATGGAGATGCTTCTGGTGTTGTGTATGTTGTTGATGGTTGTGGAATATTGAAGATGCAAGATATAAACCAGCTGGAGAACAAGCCATGATGATCAAGAAGTGAATTAATTAGATAGTTTTGTATAGTTTCGTATAGTTTCTTGTATAGTTCCTGTATAGTTTCGTATAGTTTCTTGTGCTGATACTGCTGTTCATCATCACTTCCAAGCCATCTAAAGAATTTCATAACAAAACAAAACATTACAGAATGAAAATTACAGGAACTGAAATACTGAATGTTGGGTAGCAAAAACATTTCCAAGCCAATGAACTTGACTATTTTATATTTCATAACAAAGCATTACAGAACCTGACAAAACATTACAGAATAAAAATTACAGGAAGTAAATGTTGGGTAGCAAAAACTGATGGAGTACAGACTACAATAGTTTGCCAATTTCAGCATCGTTACACAAAAAAAGAAATAAAACAGCCAATATCACAAAAGGATCATTTCCAGCAAGCCACTTGATCATGTGTTTTACAAAAATTCATGTCCAGCAACTTTAAATGTTGGGATATGCCTCTCAGATGTATCAATTTTAAATTGATAAACAAGGTAGGGCCTTCTGGTGTCTCATAATCTACAGGCGTTGACTATGGCACTTGAAAAAAACCAGATAATTATCAAAACTAAATGTTGGGTAGCAAAAAAATAATTCCCATTCCATCCCCTTCACTGACTGGATAAACTTCCTCATCGGAGAAAGATGAGGTTTCTGCACTTAAAGCTGGTCTCAGAAAAGTAAAGATCCTTACAGAGTACGTGTCTACTCGAAGAGCTAAAAAAGCTTGCCTTGAGGAAGAGGGTAGCGAGGGGAGGGGCTCAGCTAAGAGTGACGGGAAGGGAAGGGAGAAGAAATTGGGTTCCATTACTGTTTAAATCCTGTTTGGCTATTTTTAAATGACGTGTAAATTTTTTGCCATATCACCCGCCACGTAGACAATTTTATCCACGTGTGTAGACGGAATTAGGATGGGTGATTGATGGGTAAACTAATATATAGTTCGGTGAGTATTGGGTAACCTTTTATACTTCAGTGAGCAAGTAGTAACCTTGGGTAAAGATCAGTAGGCATTGGTTTAATTAACTCTATTTAATTTCTAGTATCTTGAAGTACACAAGTAAAAGTCGAGCATTTTTACGAGTTAATGTCACATTCGAATGTTAGATGTCCTGAAGTATCATACTCACAATTCAATGTAACAAGCAATGATATCATAATAACAACTACACAAATATTTACCTAATTTTAAATTATTCTTACTTAAAAAACCCTTAAGTTCTAAAAAAATATATTTTTTTTCAAGCAAAATGTGAAATTAGTCACATCAAATTTTCCCAAGAAAGTAAAAAAATCAAGAGCATGTTTGAGTCCAATGTTTCGTCCAAAATATAAAATGTATTTTAGAATAGTATTTTAAAAATAAGAAATTTTTTTGAATTTACATGTAATATTATTTTATTGAAAATTATGTGTGTTAAAATACGAGAAAATATATATTTGAAAAATAATAAATTTTGGTTAAACCTCCTAGAAATGCACTATTCCGCCCAATCCGACAGTGCAAATTGCAAAACACGTCAGTTTCCACTTTCCGTTCGTCCTCCACCGTCGCCGCCACCGCCACCGCCGCCCGCCTCCGTGACCGTGACCGTGACCGTCATCACACACACTTACGCCTAAATAAACTCCTCGGTGCAAATACAACTACAAATGGTTTCTCACTCTTCATCTCACTTTTTGTCTCTAAACAACCACCACAGCCACCCTAACTCCGCTGTCTTTTGTCGCTCGTCGTCTCTTCCTTTACGAATTTCTCATTCTACTCTGAGATTTGGAGCAATTGATTTCAAAATGAGTTCTACAAATTCTACTCTCTCCTGTAATTGCAACAGTAACAGTAAGATTGACATTTCGACGGTGGACCTAGGGCTTGACCATTTGGACCTAGATCACTTTGTTGACGTTGGGAACAAGCTCGCCGACGCTTCCGGTGACGTCATCCGCAAGTACTTCAGGAAATCTTTCGACATTCTTGACAAAGAAGATTTGAGTCAGTTATTTTTAATTATAAATTTTGAAGTTATGGATTTATTTGCTTGTTTTTTCTTTAAGAAAATATATGTTGTAATAATAGAATTTTCAGTTATTTGGACGATTTAATTCGATGTTAATAATTAAATTGAATTTAGGTCCTGTTACAATTGCTGATCAAGCGGCCGAGGATTCAATGGTTAAGATTATAGAGGAGAATTTTCCTTCTCATGCAATGTGAGTTCTTTTGTTGTTGAGTGGGAATGCACTGGAGATTTAATTCTTTTAGTACTCCTCATGCTGTTAGGTTCTTATAAAATTTCTGGAAATTAAGAAAGTGGGAAGAAACTTTTTACTGCAATTGGTCTAGTTCAGGGATTGAACTTCGATTATTTTGTACTGCTTGTTTGGACGCTATGATACTGCTATAATCACATGTTTTCTTTAGGAATTAATTTTTGTTTGCAAAGCCAAACCACGGTGTTTAGCTGCTCAGCTGTATATTAACTGTCTTTTGAGCTTTGCTGTTATGATTATTACGTACCTTTCACAGTATATATATTTCTTAAGTAAAGAACCCAAAGATGCATGATTCACATCATTTAGAATTTTTTCTTTCTTTTGATTTTTGTAAATGTAAATTTCAGTTTTGGAGAAGAGAATGGATGGAGATGTAAGGAAAATGTTGCAGATTACGTTTGGGTTTTGGATCCAATAGATGGGACAAAAAGTTTTATTACTGGTATCTGCCTATAAATTACCATAACATCACAGTGTTCAACTTTGAAGTTGACATAGTTAGCTGATATTTCTCAAATCATTTTACAGGCAAACCCGTGTTTGGAACTCTAATTGCTCTACTACACAAGGGTAAACCGGTAAGAAGTCCCAGCCACTTTCTATATCGGGGATCTTGACAGAGTTGTCCTCTGCATGGAATATGCTTTTCTTGTTGCATTTAATTTCCTTCGTGTGCTATAATGAAAATATTCTCTGTAAGAACCCCCTATTAAAATAAAGTAGCCTACGACCTAATTTTTTGCTATTTACATTTAGTCAGGCCTCTCAAACGTGATGCTTTTTCAGTATCTATATTTTCATTAAGTAATTATAGTAACACTAACACCTATATGAGACATTTCAATATTACATTTTCAGTTATGCCAATATAGAATATTTAAGATTATGCATATAATACTCGGCCTCTTTAAGTCCTTTTCTCTTTCTTGGCTTGATGGACTTCTTAAATTGCAATAGAGTTTATTATCGTTTTTGAAGACTGATAAATCTGCTGATCTTTTATATTATTCACAGTTGATTATGGTCATTTTGTATAGTAACACCCCACTTCTTTGTTCTATTGATACAAGACATTTGAATAAGTTATTCAAATTGCTTTCAGTCTTTCATGTTTCTTTTTTTATTTTTTTATCTTGAAGAATGTCAGAAAATGCCAATGAACTGCTACACATGTAACTAATACATATAATCTGGCTAAGTTTTACCATGAGACTTGTAGAAAACATTATAACTGTATCTGGCAGCAAGCAGTTATGCTTTTCTTGTGTTGATTTTGCTATTTAATGTTATTGTTTCATATAAATTCAAGTTCTTTTTATTTTTTATATATAGATTCTTGGCATTATTAACCAACCTGTTCTGAGAGAGAGATGGATTGGAACAAGTGGGAGGAGAACTACTTTGAATGGACAAGAAATCTCCACGCGCAGTTGTCCGCAACTTTCCAAAGCCTATCTGTATGCCATTCCTTTTCTATTGCAAGATATGTTGTGCTGTAAAGCAAAATGTTTATAACTAATATAGTGCAAGATGTGGGACGTGTTCTCTTGGTTTTCACATTTATAATTCATGTGACTCTATTTCTCTGTACATACATGTGAAGATCATAGTCTGCTCTCTGTTTTAGGTGCACTAACAGTCTGCCTTTACTTGATGACATGCTATTCTTTTTCATATTTTTCATTGTCTTGTGTTTAAGGTACACTACTAGTCCACATCTATTTGCTGGAGATGCTGAGGTGGCCTTCGCTCGAGTAAGAAGTAAGGTTGGTCCTTTTATATCTAACAGTGATCAAATGTATTCAGCTGTCTTACTTATCTTGGTTTTTGTATCAGTTCCCTCTAAAAGTAAATGGATTCGTGATGTATAAGATACACACACAAACACTCGCTCATGTATACAGTATATACAAAGTATGATAACAAAATCACTAAACCACTAAAGAATTATTGATTAGTACTGTTGCCCTGAATACAGCACGGTATTGGGTTCCAAATCATCTCTTTGCCTTTGATTTTTGAGAAATGCTATTCATCCCCACTGGGGGTGCATCCCCAGTCTATGTGGCGTNTTTTGATATCTTTAAGACTTAAATTTCGTTTTTTTAGGTTTTATGGGTTCCCTATAAATATGACACATTATATTCATTGTAAATACACAATTATTGAGAGATTACTGCGAGGCAAATTTGCTTCCTCCTTCGCTGCTTGAACCAAGTTGATCCATCTTAGTTCTTCTTCCCAGCTCGACATGAAATTTGGTAATTTGCTTGTTGAGTTCGATGTTTCGTCCACTGTGACCTGAACAAGAAATCTCATAACTTCCTTGACTCGCTTTGCTCACAACCTTGTCATCGGTCTACCCTCAACGATCAATGGATCGTTGCTAGAACTTGCTCTCGTATCATGGATCACATCCTTGATTGAACTTACTCTCGTATCATGGATCACATCACTTGAGTTCCGATTTGAGGAATCGGGCTATTAAAAAATATCTTGGAAAATAATGAATTTTGGAACTAATTAATTAATATATTATATATTTAGATATAATTTACTCGAAATCTCTCCATTTGGACACTAAAAATGCACATTATAGATTCATAAATGTTATTAAAAGTTAAAATGCTACATTACCTTATCAACACGTAATATACAGAGAATTTCTCTCAGAACGGAACCTAGAAAGAAAATCCCCACACACTATCTTCATTCCTGTAGGAGAGCCTGCAATTTTTACTACAAATATATTAATTTCTAGTATATTTTTAAAGTACACAAGTAAAAGTCAGCATTTTTACGAGTTAATGTCACAATTCAATGTAGCAAGCAATGATATCATAATAACAACTACACAAATATTTACCTAATTTTAAATTATTCTTACTAAAAAACCCTTAAGTTCTAAGAATCTATATTTTTTTTTCAAGCAAAATGTGAAATTAGTCACATATCAAATTTTCCAAGAAAAAAAAATCAAGAGCATGTTTGAGTCCAATATTTCGTCCAAAATGTAAAATGTATTTTAGAATAGTATTTTAATAAAAAATGTGATTAAAAATAAGAATTTTTTTTAAATTTTCATCTGATATTATTTTATTAAAAAATATGTGATTTAAAATACTAGAAAATATATATTTTGAAAATAATAAAATTTTGGTTAAACCTCCTAGAAATGCACTGTCATCCGCCCAATCCGACAGTGCAAATTGCAAAACACGTCAGTTTCCACTTTCCGTTCCTCCTCCGCCATCGCCGTTGCCGCCCGGCTCCGTGACCGTCATCACACACACTTACGCCTAAATAAACTCCTCGGTGCAAATACAACTACAAATGCTTTCTCACTCTTCATCTCACTTTTTGTCTCTAAACAACCACCACAGCCACCCTAACTCCGCTGTCTTTTGTTGCTCGTCATCTCTTCCTTTACGAATTTCTCATCCTACTCTGAGATTTGGAGCAATTGATTTCAAAATGAGTTCTACAAATTCTACTCTCTCCTGTAATTGCAACAGTAACAGTAAGATTGACATTTCGACGGTGGACCTAGGGCTTGACCATTTGGACCTAGATCACTTTGTTGACGTTGGGAACAAGCTCGCCGACGCTTCCGGTGACGTCATCCGCAAGTACTTCAGGAAATCTTTCGACATTCTTGACAAAGAAGATTTGAGTCAGTTATTTTTAATTATAAATTTTGAAGTTATGGATTTATTTGCTTGTTTTTTCTTTAAGAAAATATAGGATGTGATAATAGAATTTTCAGTTATTTGGAGGATTTAATTCGATGTTAATAATTAAATTGAATTTAGGTCCTGTTACAATTGCTGATCAAGCGGCCGAGGAGTCAATGGTTAAGATTATAGAGGAGAATTTTCCTTCTCATGCAATGTGAGTTCTTTTGTTGTTGAGTGGGAATGCACTGGAGATTTATTTCTTTTAGTACTCCTCATGCTGTTAGGTTCTTATAAAATTTCTGGAAATTAAGAAAGTGGGAAGAAACTTTTTACTGCAATTGGTCTAGTTCAGGGATTGAACTTCGATTATTTTGTACTGCTCGTTTGGACGCTATGATACTGCTATAATCACATGTTTTCTTTAGGAATCAATTTTTGTTTGCGAAGCCAAACCACAGTGTTTAGCTGCTCAGCTGTATATTAACTGTCTTTTGAGCTTTGCTACTATGATTATTAAGTACCTTTCACAGTATATATATTTCTTAAGTAAAGAACCCAAAGATGCATGATTCACATCATTTAGAATTTTTGCTTTCTTTTGATTTTTGTAAATGTAAATTTCAGTTTTGGAGAAGAGAATGGATGGAGATGCAAGGAAAATGTTGCAGATTACGTTTGGGTTTTGGATCCAATAGATGGGACAAAAAGTTTTATTACTGGTATCTGCCTATAAATTACCATAACATCACAGTGTTCAACTTCGAAGTTGACATAGTCAGCTGATATTTCTCAAATTATTTTACAGGCAAGCCCGTGTTTGGAACTCTAATTGCTCTACTACACAAGGGTAAACCAGTAAGAAGTCCCAGCCACTTTCTATATCTTGGGATCTTGACAGAGTTGTTCTCTGCATAGAATATGCTTTTCTTGTTGCATTTAATTTCCTTCGTGTGCTATAATGAAAATATTCTCTGTAAGATCGCCCTATTAAAATAAAGTAGCCTATGACCTAATTTTTTGCTATTTACATTTAGTCAGGCCTCTCAAACGTGATGCTTTTTCAGTATCTATATTTTCATTAAGTAATTATAGCATCACCTATATGAGACATTTCAATATTACATTTTCAGTTATGCCAATGTAGAATATTTAAGATTATGCATATAATACTCGGCCTCTTTTAAGTCCTTTTCTCTTTCTTGGCTTGATGGACTTCTTAAATTGCAATAGATTTTATTATGGTTTTTGAAGACTGATAAATCTGCTGATCTGTTATATTATTCATAGTTGATTATGATCATTTTGTATAGTAACACCCCACTTCTTTGTTCTATTGAATACAAGACATTTGAATAAGTTATTCAAATTGCTTTCAATCTTTTTGTTTCTTTTTTTTTTTATCTTGAAGAATGTTAGAAAATGCCAATGAACTGCTACACATGTAACTAAGCCCCCGTTTAATCTACATTATTATCTCATTAAAATGAAAAATATGACCGTTATCCATCACATCAACATTTAAATTTAAATTTTCTATCTCTTGTGTGGGCCCAATAACGGCTATATTTTTCATTTTCATTCTATAATAATTTGACTCAAACAGGGCCTAATACATATAATCTGGCTAAGTTTTGCCATGGAACTTGTAGAAAACATTATAACTGTATCTGGCAGCAAGCAGTTATGCTTTTCTTGTGTTGATTTTGCTATATAATGTTATTGTTTCATATAAATTCAAGTTCTTTTAATTTTTTATATATAGATTCTTGGCATTATTAACCAACCTGTTCTGAGAGAGAGATGGATTGGAACAAGTGGGAGGAGAACTACTTTGAATGGACAAGAAATCTCCACGCGCAGTTGTCCACAACTTTCCAAAGCCTATCTGTATGTCATTCCTTTTCTAGTGCAAGATATGTTGTGCTGTAAAGCAAAATGTTTATAACTAATATAGTGCAAGATGTGGGATGTGTTCTCTTGGTTATCACATTTATAATTCACGTGACTCTATTTCTCTGTACATACATGTGGAGAGATCATAGTCTGCTCTCTGTTTTAGGTGCACTAACAGTCTGCCTTTACTTGATGACATGCTATCCTTTTTCATATTTTTTATTGTCCTGTGTTTAAGGTACACTACTAGTCCACATCTATTTGCTGGAGATGCTGAGGTGGCCTTCGCTCGAGTAAGAAGTAAGGTTGGTCCTTATATGTCTGACAGTGATCAAATGTATTCAGCTGTCTTATTTATCTTTATTTTTGTATCAGTTCTCTCTAAAAGTTAATGGATTCGTGATGTATAAGATACACACACAAACACTCGCTCATGTATATACAAAGTATGATAACAAAATCACTAAACCACTAAAGAATTATTGATTAGTACCGTTGCCCTGAATACAGCACGGTATTGGGTTCCAAATCATCTCTTTGCCTTTGATTTTTACAACAAAAAACCTTGGTTGATGTCCGCTTTTGTTATTTTTATTTCCTTTTGTGCAGATCAAAAGCTTAGTTGTGTTTGTTACGTTGTAATGATGAAGTACTTTAAGAGGTTCATTTCTGTTTTACAGGTCAAAGTGCCTCTGTACGGCTGTGATTGTTATGCCTATGCTCTATTGGCATCGGGTTATGTGGATCTTGTGATTGAGTCTGGTCTCAAGGTGAGCTGTACTCTTTTTATTCATGCGTTCTAAGATATTCAATTTTTCCCTTCCCGTGTTTTTTTTTTTGTTGGAATGTAGCCTGGTATGTGCAGTAACAGTGCATGTATACATATTGTAGAGACTCGTAAAAGCAATTATTCAATTGACTTTGGAATCAAGCAGCGATTTTCTGCTTTTTGGTTTATGCCTTATATAGCTAATACGAATAATGTGTAACCTGTTGCTTTTTCATCTTGTGATGTGAAAAAATTGAAAAACCTAATGTCACTCACAAGTTGCCAGATATCTTGTATTAATGAATTTGCAACTAAATTTTCAGCCATACGATTTCCTTTCCCTGATACCAGTAATTCAAGGCGCGGGCGGAGTCATAACTGATTGGAAAGGACACCAACTTCATTGGGAAGCTTCGTCAAATCCCAATGTGACAAGTACGATTTTCTGGCTTAAGCTGCTTCTCATTATCCATGTCAACTTTGAAACTTCATTTAAGGTTACAGTCTGGCCAAATTGTCATTTAACATAACCGTAACAATAAAATGTCGTGTTTCCAGGCTTTAATGTAGTGGCAGCAGGGGACGAAAGGGTTTATCAAGAAGCTCTAGATACGTTGCAGTGGTAGTGATTTCATCAAAAAGATGCAGGTTTAGGTTTCAGAATTAAGCTAGGTGCACCCATTGTGTACACCCTGTTTGACACCACCCCCCCCACCCCCCATGTCTCAAAAAGCTGGCCATTGTATGGAAAAAGTGTTAAAATCAATTTCTAAAAATCTGTCTTAAGTCACATGGATGTTAAACTAGGTGTCAACTTAGGTGTACGTGTAGCATGATTCTCTTAGCGACTGACTGCTAGGTTACTTTCAGGATAATGACCGCAATAAGGACCAAGTCCTTAAACAATGGGAACTCGAAGTCCACATAAAAAACAGTTACCGTTATTATTGGATTTGGATTCGGGCACAAGGAACCTTATCTTTTTTCTATAGTTATTACCCAAGTTAAAATCCTTGACTGGTACCTACCGATACCCGTGTTGCATGGCAGTGTAGGCTTGTCATTTGTGTAAAATGTTTAATTACTCACCCAACTTATTATTGGTTTACGTTTACCCATTAAATTCCAAAGTACTTCTTAATGATAAATCATTTTTGAGATATTGCACTCTATTCATCATCCGTCAGAGTTCGTTTCCCTCGTTGCTGACGTGTCAGATGGAAAATCCTTGTGGCATGTTACAGTCGTTAAAAATGATAATTCAGCCAAAATTATTCAATATATTGTCATTAACGATTAATTCATCAAACCTCAAATTGGTTTCCAATTATCACTCATCTTTTAGACATTGCACTCCATTCTTCTTTCGCCAAATTCAAAGTTTTATAGATCAAGCCTTTTTTTTTGGTCAACAACATTTTCGATCGTATCGTCAACTCACTAAGAATTTACAAAATCTCAAACTTATTTTATTTCTTCTAAACATTCAGAAAATAATTTGTATTATTAGCTCAATATTTTTTTAGAAAAAATTATGGGTAAGATTGAACCCGGCTCTTGATAATTCAAATCGAAGCAATGGATGTCCAACTCGGGCCGATCAATAAAAATACTCCGCCCTTGTCGTATTGAAATCGATGGTTTGGTTTTGGTTTTACTAATTATGTGGAACCGAAGGGTTCCATTTACGAAATACTCAATTTGATTCGCTCAACGTTCATGTTCACAAAGAATGTTAAATAAAGAAACCTAACTAATAGTCATGACTGAATAAGCAAACAATTCAAAACAATTTTAATTGAATAAGGAAACACAACAACTAAGAGATTAGACTGAATAACGAAAAGAAATATAACAGGAGACATTTGCCAAGCTTGGCAAATAAGCGAGGCTCAGCCAAGAAGTATCGGGCTATACCATCAGGCTTCTTGTCCCTCTGGTGCACCTACGTCGAACCTGGAATTATCTGGGCTTGGAATTTTCTGCATCAGTATTGCACGTTCCCGACCTTTTACCATTAGTTGTGCAATCTGGTACTTAGTCAACAGGTTGGATGCCCGTTTCGAGTGCCTACTTACTTCCCTAGAAAATCTAGGAGCTTGTGTCGTTCCAACGACCCCAAGCCTCTGTCACAAACAACATCATGTAGTACTGTCCTCTGAATACAAAACTTTTCCTCAAATGGTTTTGAATTATTTAAGATATCTCTTAGGTCATGTTTGATAGGCCACATTGTTCGGAGAAGTAGAAAAATATTTTCCACTTT